ACCATCCCCACACTGCCCTCAATCCAAAAACGAAAATATAGTAAAGAAATTGCATATCTGCATGTATTGAAGTTCGGTACTCGTGTAAAAAAAAAGGCTAACCTTTTTAATTTGAGTCCATTAGAGGAGTATCCACGCAAGTTTGTGTACATAATTTATTGTCGCCACTTGGCTCCATGGAGGGCACGGATTAGGGAAAATGGGAAAGGTCAGGAGTCAGGAGGCGGCTTCCCTACGCCCACGGTCTCCAAATGTCAACTAATTACTAATTACCCTTCCAAAAGTCCAACTCTTTTTTTGGTCTTCATCATCTTTCTTCATTTCCCTAAACTAAACCCTGAATTAGACTCAACCAAACTTGAATTTATAACATGAATAAATTAATGAGTAATGACACAAATTTAAAATGGGAAAGTTTAGATAGTGCCCATAGCTAGTTAGCCCCCTCCCTAGGTGACATTTATAGAAAGAAATATTGAATTACTAATATAGAAGTATTTGTTTTTTTTCTATTAAATTCAAGTAAAATATAAAAATAATAAATATACATTAATTAATTACTTTAGTCTTGAAGCTTGTCTTAAATGTTTAGTGTTTAATATGATCATGAACGTAATGCAAAGATCTTCAAAGGAAAAATGCTCATTGTTGAACAGTCTTGTCATTGAATTGTTGATTTAATTAGATCTAAATTGAATTGTTTCAATAGAATAACTAAGGATCATGTGAATTTGTAATAGATGGAAACTTAGTTTAGATTAGTAGGTTTTGGAAAAAAAAAAGGTTTAGAGTGGTAGGAATTGGTCCGATAAATGAATATACATATTTATTTTTTTTAAAAAAGCTCTTTTTTAAAGTACAAAATTAATAAATCCATTTAATATATATATATATATATATATGAATAAAAACAAAAACAGAAAATAATGTTAAACCCCTAAATCTCCCGTTTGCCATCTCCAGTTTGGACGGGTCTTAAGGAATGTTTGGACCATGGGCTATGGAGACCCTTGGACAATTCCGCCGGAAACGATCCATTAATGAATTTTATTCTCATTCACTTGCCAACCCAATAGGAAGCTTCCATGTATTCACCAATTTATTTTTTCTCTACTCAATAAATTGTGTACTTTAGACTTTTAGAAAGGACTTTAATGCCCAATAAAAAAAAAGACTTTTAGAAGGACTTAGTCTTTTTTCTACGAAACTTAAAATTTGATAATTGACTCATTGGAAAGTCAACACTCAAACCAAACGCGGACCGAAACGATCAAGGGACCGAATTATAGACAAGCTAAGCAATGGCCACGAAGGAAAATTGGATACGTAAATCTGGGTTCGTTCGTTCCTTAATTAATGAGCCGTTGGACTTGAATGGGTCAGCCTTGGGGACTCGGGTCAAGCGGATTCGGTCGGGCCCTGCCTTAAATTTCAAGGATAATGGCTGCATCTTTCTTGATATAGCATATAGGCTCATGGGTGCCTCAAACTCAAACTCATTAGCCAATTGAAATTTCCTTCAATTCAGATCATTGAATTAAACCATCATTTTTGTGTAGAAAAGTAAAGATGATTGCAAACAATCAAGGAGAGTTTAAAGCTGAAAATGACCTTTTATATAGAAGATTATTATAAGTCGGTTTCTAGTTAAATAATTAAATAAATAAAGATTTGAAGTAAGTGTACAGCTATTTTTAATATATTTCTTGACATTTATCTTTCATGTACTTACTTGAATAAGATAATCATTTTTAAATTACTCAAACATTCCTGCATAAAATAATTTTATTTTGAATCAATTATTAACTTACAGGCTACAGCCATTGATCGATGTATTTAAAAATAGTCAAAGATGTGGTTCCTTATATTCTTAATGAATTTTGGAACTGACCCAAATCATAACTTCACAAGGATAAAAATCAGATGGATAATAAATACAATACTCAAGAATTTTATAAATTGGAAAGAGTCAAATAAAACTCTAATAATTGATGGAAACATTTTTATCTCTAAAATGGTAAGTAAATTAAATATCATCATTACAATAATCGTAACCATATTTTATAGTAGATGGTAATAGTAACAAATACAAGAGATGTAAAAAGGAAAATTTTAAAAATTGCAAGTAATTTTTAAGATGGTAACACTAAGTTAAGTATATACTCATATCTTAATGTCCCGTTAAATAAGATATTATATTCATATTGTGAATGGTAAGAAACCCGAAAAAATAACATTGGACACCCCATTATCCACGAATGGATAGCAAAAACAACTTGATTGAATAAGAAAATTGTGAATGATATGATAATAAAAATAGACGAAATAACTTTTCCGTCCAAAGTAACTCAAGTTTAATTCAGTAGAGAATCAATGCGAGTTATTGATGAAAAAACAAAATTTTTACATATATAGTCTCTTCTCACAAAGATAAAGAATTGGGTTTTACAATTTGACATTTTGAAAATAGAATAGAATTATAAGAAAGGACACATAGAAAGAGAATTATAAGAAAAGACACATAGAAAGACAAAATCATTGGAAAGGTAATGACTTCTAAATTGTAATTAACAAAGGGTTATCAAACACGATGATTTATATTATTCCTTAATTATTCTTTCTTACTTTTAAAAGCATACTAGTCATCTTCAAATACTATTATATATATATATATAGTAATAGTAATAACTAATAATAATAGTAATTAAATTAATTAGTATATCATTTGATAAACTTTTTGATAGAAAAAACATTTACAAGCATTCCCTATCTTTTTTTTTTTTTTTTTGGTTCAAAACAAACATTCCCTATCTGAAAAAGACTCAAACCCCTTTTGCATGTTACCATTTTTAAGGTGGAAAAAGAAAGAAAGAAAAGAAAGCATTAAAGCAAGGAAAAAAAGCAGCAAGTTAAAAAAAGACGCGTAACCTTTGTTGTATTGCACCTAAACAATTAACCAAACACGCTTGATTCGCATTTACAAGCATATTCTCATCCCAACCCTTAATACCAAAAAGGTAAAAAGTAAAAAAAAAAACATTTATTTTGTTTTCACCTTTTTTGAATTTTACCAGACTTACTTACTCCTAATTAAGTACTCTGTACTCCGTATTTACCAGAAAACCGCATTAATTAATTATATTTTTATTTATTAATTAAAAATCCGAATTTAAGGTTTTTTATTATTAAGATTAAGATGTTTAGCAGCAAATCTAGCTGTAGGCTGTAGCGCTGGGGTCAAAGAAAATAGAGCATTTTGGGTTTCGTTGTCAAAATCAAAAGGACATCTTCCGTCCACAGCTTCCCCCTGCCCTGTCGATTCGCCCAATGAAATTAACAAAAAAGTTTGTTTAATAAAATTTCTTAATTACTTCTTTTTAGTTTTTTCCTTTTTTTTTTCTTTTTAATTCTTTTTACTTGTGTATATATATATATATATAAGAATAAGAAAGAAGAACCACAATTTCTAATTTCAATTTGAAATCAAACTCTAATATACGCATATAAGCCAAATACCGTAAAAGATTTGAAGATTATCTTTTGTTAAGCTTCTTTCTCGTTTTGTTTCCCTTTTCCCCTGCTTTCGTACAAAATCACACGATCTTAGTGTTTTCTTGCATATTTAGCAAAAGGAGGAGGAAAAAAAGGAGAGAAAGATTTTTCTCTTTTATATTTTTTTTCCCGGGAAATTGAAATTCCTCGTTTGGTTTCCTGCACGTTTTCTGGCATTTTTATTTGGAAAGGCGATCACGAAGTTAGTTCTATCAGAGAGATAATATAATCTAGGATTAGCGTGAATTTTAAGTTCAGTTTAAAGAGGTGGAGAAGGAGGTGATTTTCTCGTGATTAAGTGCTTCTTTTTAAATATAGTTTCAGTTTCCACCAGATCTTGCTCAGTTGTTCAGTATCATCTTTTCTATTCAGGTACGTGAATGTTTGAATATATATATTCGAAGCTTAGTTTTCCGTTTGGTTGCCGAGAAAATCCTCGTTGTCTCAGCTGAATGCTCATTTGAGCATTCAGTTGTTTAAGCTAGATTTTCATATTTGAATCTTATTTTAGTACATCGGTTTTTGCTCTAACTTGCTTTTTCTAATTTCTTTTTAATTTCAATCGTTAATTTTTCACGATTTTTTTTGGAGTTGATTAATATTAAAATTATCGATAGTAATTAGTGGTTGAAGTCGAAAACTGATTATAGGAATAACGGCGGATTTTGAGCTAACTTTTAGGTCAGGTTTATGTTTTTTTGTCGTCGTGTTCTGTATCTTTGAACCTAAGCAAGAACAGTTGGATTCTCTAAAGTCTAAACTAGAAATTCTCGGTATTGCAGCCTTTTTAATTTTCTTAATCAAAAGATTTTGGATTTTTGGTCTTATTCAAAAGGAGAACGAAGGCACATGTTTGCTTGATTATATAGTTATTGAATTTAGGATTTGGAATTTGTCCGATAATTGTGTTTGCCCGGCGACCATGATTTTTTGTTCAAAGGGGTAGGCACATGGTTACTTGCTTTCTGGAGTTACTAGTTGAGGGCTATGTGGAGGGGATTCTTAGGTGGTACTCCTAGCTTAATATGGTGACTCTTCTATCTTTTACTATATATATGTACTAGGTTTTGAGAAGGGAGGTCAAGGGCATCATTACAAGCAAGCCTCCTTAAGGCAAGTATAGAAAGGTCTCTTTTAGCTTGCATTTTATTGGCTGCATTCTGTATGAACTGGTAAATTTGATTGAACTAGGATAGCAGCTTAGAGTTAAGATCTGTGAAGAGTCGCTGTTTGAATCTCGGGTGTTAGTGTCTGTCTTTCTTAATTTATTTAATCTGTAACTATTGTTTGCTTCATCATTTTGATACTATATTTTGGTCACATCAGGTGTCTCTTTGTTTTTTGGAGAATTGGCAACTGAATACCTGCTAAATAATGCTCAAAGGCTCTTGCAATCTGAATTGCCAATAGTTTTGTTGTGAATATACAGACAGACGATTTTTAATAGAATGGGGATCTTAACTCGCAGGTTCACAACTTATAACGGTCTCTTTGTTAAAAAGAATAAACTACATGTTATGTGTGTATGTGTAGAAATTGGTACTAAGATGTGATTTAATATTGATTCCATTCTGGTGACTGCAGTACGGTTTCTAGAAAGCCGAATGAGAGCATGAGGCTTATAGTGACGACCTTTGTTGGAATAGTTTTTGGCTTCTTGGTAGGAGTATCTTTCCCAACTTTGTCATTAACAAAGGTAGACAAACTGTTCCCTGTTAATATTTCTTCAGCATTATGAATTAATTTAATAAGGATCGTTTGGTTTAGATAATGGAACCTATGTCATGTCTGAATGTGGCAGCTCAATCTATCAAACAGCCTTCTTACTACCATTGATTTTGCTTACACTGATTACAAAAAGTCAGGCCCCTCAAGCTCAGCTCAAGTGTCTCCCCCAATTGGTAATAATGGCAACTCTGTTAATGCTACATCAGAGAAGGTATACCTCCTGTCTTAACCTTAGCATCTCTAAAATATCCCAAGATAGAGGTTTTGCATAGCTCGAGTGTATATCTTTAAAAAGGCTGCTACTGGCTGAAATGCATCATTGGAATACATTCTCTTAATGCTTAATATGCTAAATAATTCTCATGTCTATCAATCATCTTCATATTTGTTGTATTGCTGTTTATATGAATATGCAAGTATTGTATCCATAATGGCTCACAAATTGCAATCCTTGGTGTGTGTCTATTACTTGTTGCTGGCACATTGTACTATTATTTAGATCCATGTCTTACTGTCACAAAGTGCATAAATGATGTGATTTTTGTGTTTGAGGATTTTGAAGGACCTGAATATTATGGTGCTAGTCTAACATGCCACATTTTTGTGCTTTGTTCATGATTCTGATGCAGATTTGGGTCCCATCAAATCCTCGAGGTGCAGAAAGACTTCCACCAGGAATTGTTAAAGCAGAGACAGACTTGTACCTACGCAGATTGTGGGGCAAACCTAGTGAGGTGTGTTTTGTTGGGCAGTTGGATCCTTATTCTAAATACAATAATTCTGAAATTTGCATTTGCTTTGAGTTTGAGTGCATGGATTAAAATTTTTAGCTCTGGTATGTTAAGATAAATTAATTTGATGTCAATTAAATACGTTTAATGAATGAAAAATCTGCTTTTGGAATTTTTGGAAACATCTCTTTCTATGGGCAACACATATTCATATTAGAGCCTAGGGATAAAGGGAGGGCGGGAGGCAGAATGGTAGTAATATATCTTGGTATGTTGAGTCAGTTAACTTGGATTTATGGCATTACTCTCTTAGTCTCTTGCATCTAGCATGGAAAGAAGGAAAAATGAATTTCTGCCAAGGAATAGGATCTTCTGCTATGGGATTAAATTCTATCTTCATCTTTGGTTCCTTATTGCGTAAAACCTTTTTAAGATGCCAAATTACGTAATACATTCCGGGATCTCAGAACGCAAATGTTAAGTCTTAGGGGTTGTTTGCACTGTTAATCTACTATATTTTTATTATATAAAAAATATATAATTTGGATCAGTCTACAAAGTACTATATCAAATAAGGGAAAAAATGGTGAGTTCTCTAACCCTGGTTTTGTTTGTTAACATTGGCATATGCAGGATTTGACCAGCACACCAAAGTATCTTGTTGCATTTACTGTCGGTTATGATCAACGGCAGAATATTGATGCAGCAGTTAAAAAGGTACCAGTCCTACTCTCTCTCTATGTATGTGTTTGTGTGTCAGACAAATGTGTGTTAACTTGCATCTCTTTGTGCATTTGCATAGAGGCCCACATATGCAGGGTAGGCAGGCTGCTGCAGTGGGATAGAGTTTTCTGCATGTTCATGTGTTTGTGCGGTTCACATTGCAAGTTGTAACTAAAACATATCTTCCGCAGTTTTCAGGGAATTTTACCATCCTTCTATTTCATTATGATGGTAAAACAACTGAATGGGATGAGTTTGAGTGGTCAAAGCAGGCGATACATGTGAGTGTTCGGAGGCAGACTAAATGGTGAGTGGTTTGTATTTAGAATAATATGCTGTAGCTTACAAACTCAAGTCCTGCTTTGCTGTCAGGATTGAATGCGTTGACTAATTAATGTCTGTTTTGCTTAAAATTTTCGAAGTATGACTCTCATGAAGTTTTTATTTTCCTAGGTGGTATGCCAAGCGGTTTTTGCACCCTGACATTGTGGCACCCTATGACTACATATTTATCTGGGATGAGGACTTGGGGGTTGAGCATTTCGACGCGGAAGAGTGAGTTCATTTATCAAATGACTTTTCAATAAATACTTTGTTCATGTTCAACTAATTTCCTTTTAAAGTGAAAAGTGTAATAAAAGATGTTCAATTTTCTTCATTCTTTAGGTATATTAAACTGGTAAGGAAGCATGGACTGGAGATTTCACAGCCTGGTCTGGAACCAAATAGAGGGTTAACCTGGCAAATGACAAAAAGAAGAGGTGATCGTGAAGTCCACAAGTAAGAATACTGAGGCAACTTTTGACCTGTAATCCTTTAAATTATATTAACTTATTGAGTAAGAAGTATTTTTTTTTTCTCTTGTCCAATTTTGGTTCAGAGAAACACAGGAGAAACCGGGCTGGTGCAATCATCCACATCTCCCTCCTTGTGCAGCGTATGTATAGCTTTTAGCATTATTGTTGTTATCATTGTCTTAATTCTCCATAGGATAAGTAAAAAAAACTGTTGCTGTTTCTTTCCTAAAATTTAGGTTTGTTGAGATCATGGCTCCTGTGTTTTCACGAGATGCATGGCGGTGTGTGTGGTATATGATTCAGGTACTGTGGGTGTACTTATCTTCTTTTTCATTTTGTATTCCCATTTGTTTTCTTAGCATACTCATCATATTGTTTCCCTTGGTCAATTCACAGAATGACTTAGTCCATGGCTGGGGTCTTGATTTCGCCCTCAGAAAATGTGTAGAGGTGAGCATCCTCTTGCTCCTGTCTTCCTCTGTCTGTTTCCCCAGCAGTTTACAAGAAAAAAAAAATCTTTCTTCTGTGATTGGTTTTACAAACCCTTTTACTAAATACGAATAATATCTCTTGAAAACAGCCTGCACATGAGAAGATAGGTGTTGTAGATTCTCAGTGGATCGTTCATCAATCTGTTCCCTCTCTCGGGAACCAGGTAACGACACTTTCACTCTAATTATCCAATGTCTCGTGTCGTGATTCATAATATTCTCGAACAAATTACTTACATTCATAACTTGCTTTTGGTAGGGAGAGGCACAACAAGGCAAGGCACCATGGCAAGGGGTATGCATTATGCTTAAGCTTAAACTTAAAAAACTTTCCTTCTTATTCTCCCCATTTTTTGCTTCCTAAAGAGCTTTTTACTTGTTAATCAAGTTAATTTAATGAAAATGGTGGCTGATATTTACAATAATGTTATGTTTCCAGGTAAGGGATAGATGTAAAAAGGAATGGACTATATTTCAAACGAGGTTTTCAAGGGCGGAGAGAGATTACTTCAAGGCGATAAACTCGACATCTCATTAGGAGGAAGAGAAGAGCAAACAATAGACAGCTGACTGTATACATTCATTATTAGTTATTACTATACAGCTTAGATTTTTTTACAAGAATTTCTTCTTTCATAGTATAGAATTTGTAGAATCAAACATTATATTTGTAACCATTATTTTAGTAATAATCAAAAACAGTTCGATCCATCAGATCATAATAATATACTTATATATATTCCATTTCCTACACGAAACTTCACCGCCATTTCGGCTTACATTTGCAAGTCTGGTCTTTTTCTCCGGTCCTATATGTGAACTGTGATAGCAATTTTTGTCTGAGGAATAAGGATGAGGTTGAAGATATGACTCAAATAATTATCCATATACGACATTGTATAAGATATTTTTGCCTTTAGATATTTATTTTTCACCCAACATTGCAAGTGTTTGAATCTTGATTTCTGAATTTAAGATTCTTCTAACACATTATCATTTATCAATGGATCATGCAGTAACTATTTGTCCATAGAAATTTGGATTTTGCTTATGATGAATAATTTAAAAGCATTCTTTGGTACTGTCAAGATATATTCAGTAAAGCTTCCCTCTATTTGGACTCGGACATGGTTCGGATTAGTCGGGGAATAACAAGATTACGAGTACCAAGATGTTTGTACTAAAACTATATCTAAAATTTGCATTTTTCACACCAATTACTGTTATTTTTTCGCTGCTTTTATATCGGCTTAAATCTCATTTTGCACCCTTAAATTTGTACGAATTGATATTTTGTACCCCGATGGTTTATTTCGATCTTATTGCACCCTAATGTTTTATTTTAGATACATTTTGCACCCTCCATGACGAAAAATGGTTACCGCGCTGTTATGGTTGCTACGTGCCATGTCACGTAGGATGAAAATGCCACGCGGCATGCTGACGTGGTAAAATTTTCAAATTTTCTATTATTTTTATGTTGACATGGCATGTCATGTGGCAATTTTCATATGACGTGGCATGTCATGGCAGCATCGTAACAGCGTTGTTAGGAACTTAATGATTTATCCGTCACGGAGAGTGCAAAATATACCCAAATTAAAACATTATGATGCAATAAGATCCAAATAAACCTTCGGGGTACAAAATGTCAATTTGTACAAACTTTAGGGTGCAAAATGTGATTTAAGCCCTTTTATATCAAACCACAAGCCATTTTTACATTCTCTTGTTCCCCCTCAATCTTTAAGATATAGAAAAGTAGGAATATGTTAACATAAACATAAATTGTGAGATCATAATTTGTAGTAGTACATAGTATATGAAAATTTACATTATCCACGCACATTTTATCTCCCTTAAATTTGGTCCAATAGTTAGCATATTCCTTTTATCCTATTTTTCCTTTTTTTCACTACGGAAAGGTTGTTGTCAAGAAAAAGGGATTGTGGGCATTGGCAAGAAAAATGCAGCAAAAACATTGCTTTCTTTCTCTCAAATCTTCGAAATGTTGTTTGGTTTTGTTGTGGGCATTGGCAGTGGCGATGGTGCTCCAAAAAAATGGACAATTCCTTCACGCCGTGCACATGAAGATAAGATGTGTGGATATGAATAACGAGTGCCCTCTCATATATTATATGGTTGTGTAATCTTTTTCTCTCTTCAGTAAAAGGGACCCATGTTTTTTGTGTTGTTTTGTTCGTAGCACAAAACTTTTTAACTACTTCCTCTCATCTTACGTTTATAATCTTAAACGGGTCCGGTTAGTACCAAGGAAAAGGATTGAGGAAGGAATTATTTTCAATCCAAGAATTTTAGCTACATAGTAGTACATATGAATATATGAATATGAATTGTAAATGTTAAATTGGGTAAATTTTCTTCATTACCCATTTGTGTTCTTCCTATTAAATGGACTTAACACTATATTTAACTCGAGAGAAACGATGAAAGAAATGGTGTGGAAAGAAAGCGAATTGAAAATAAATTTTTTTTTCTTTTTATTCAACCAAAGACTCCGAGAACTAAATTAAAACATCATATTTATATCGAAGGTAACAATGAAAGAAACGGTGTGGAAAGCAAGTGAGTTGGAAACAAATTTTTTTCTTATTATTCAACCAAGACTCTAAGAGCTAGTAATTTCTTTCACATATAGAGTGTAAAATTTTAAAGCCGTCCAAAATGTGTTTTTAAGAAATTAAATTTGTATTCTTACCTTTTTTTTTATTTGTATTCCTACCCTTTCTTTTATTTGTTTAATAAGATGAAAATACAAGCAAGGGAGTGAGTTAAGACTTATGAGTAGCTTACCAAAAACAAAGAATAAACACACAAAATGTTCCACTAATGATTATTATATTCCAGGAATACTGGGTAAAAATTCTATAAAACACCTTTTATAATGATTGCCAAATGGGGTTGAAAAGGAAAAAGAGTTGATTGAGAGAGAATGATCCGCGTGCTCAATTGAAAAGAACGTGCTTTTCATTTTTCATTATTGTCAATTGTCAATCAAATGTTTCTTCGTCCAAATATGACTTTTGAGTAGTCTAGAAACAACTACTATGAAATGTGAATGTAAATTTTGAAGTTCCTTTACGAAATTATTATAAGCTGAATAACTTCAAATTAGAATTAGAATTTTAAACTTTTCACTATAATAGATAGAAAAAAAGTCTATTTAAGAAAGTAGTAAGTGGAGTACTTTCTCTCTCCTAGTGAGAGCCTCTCTCTTTAGAATGAGTAGCCATTTCTCTTTGTGAGAATCTCCACCCCGCCGTTTGGGTTTCCGCTCTTTGTTTCTTTTTCTTTCCTCCCTTCTGTTCCATTTCTTCTCCTTTTTCATCCTCTTTTCCTTTCCTTCTCTTTTCCTTTTTCTTTGCTTTTGTTGTGCTGGTTTTGGTCTTCCCCCATGGAAGATTTAACACTCAATTTGGAAATGGTTTCAAACAGTGAAGCGAATACGACGGAGTGGGCATGTTTTGGGAAAAATCATTTCTGAGAAAACTCTCTTTAAGGGAGCGGTGAAAACCATCCTGCGAAACTTATGGCATGAGGATGAAGCCCCGGTGATTGGTGAGGCTGGGAACAATACTTTTAGTATTTTCTTTGCTTCCAAAGAGTTGATGGAGGCGGCGGTGCGAGCAAATCCATGGTCAGTGATGGGCTCCTGTTTTAATCTCAAGGAATGGCCGATGGACCTACCGATAGGGGAGATGAATTTCGATGAAGTGTCCTATTGGGTCCAGATTCATAACCTTCCAAGAGATATGATGTCGATAAGGAATGCCCAGATTATTGGTGGTAATTTGGGTCGGATTTTAGAGATTGAAGAGCCAAAAGGAAGATTTGGCTGGAATAGAAGTTTTCTGCGTATGAGAGTTTTGGTGAAAGCAGCGAACCCCCTAACTCCAGGCTTCTGGTTTCCGAGAGGAGAGGATCGGAAGGTCTGGGCTGAGGTGAAATATGAGAAACTGTCAGACTTTTGCTTCTCCTGTGGTCGCTTAGGTCATATGAGTAAGCATTGCAAATTTGATTCTCCTCCAAACGTTGTTTTTGGAAACTCGATGAGAACGGGGTCGGCTAGAGCTTTGATGTCACCGAAAAAGAAGCGGAGTAATTCCTGGGGAGGAAGGCTGAGTGATAGAAGTGAGCAGACATCTGTGGTGGCGCGTAGCCTCTACATGCCATTGGTGCGTGAAAGACAAGAGGTGAGTGAAAACACGATCCATGCGCGTGGTGTGGAATTATCTACAAGGCCGAAAGAGAAGGGTCAGAGTAGTGGAGCGAATTTCGGAGGCAGTTACAAACCAATTCCCACTGATGAGCATGAGAAGCGGAAGGGAATGATTATCCCAATATCAGATAAGATCAGGGATAGACCGGGGGTGGCAGATTTTGTTCAAGATCCAGTTCGAGAAGTGTCTGAAAGTTTTGGGCCCAATTTGAACTCTGAAATTGCCAACTTATCTAATTTCTCTTGGCCAAATGAATTGCTGGGCCTTAAATCTATTGAACCTGACGTGGAAGGCTACATTGATGAACCAGGCTGTGCTGAGCTCCCAGGTTATGAGCCCATTGATTCGGAGATTGAAGAGTACCCCCCTGAGCCTGGTTGCGCGGAATTACGTGTCATTTCTAGCCCACCAATGGGGACAATTGTGATGCATTTCTATGCCAGCCCAAATAGAAGGCCGACTGAAACATCAGAGACACCTCAAGGTAAGTCTGTTAGAAAAAGTCCAGTTATCTCTCATTCTAAAATGCTATCTACTATTATGAGCTTATCTAATGTTTTTCGTAAGCTGCATTTGAAACGTATTGAAAAGGAAGAGCTGTCTAAAGAAGGGGGGAGTAAGAAAGCTAGATTAGCTATTATGAATGATGCTGATGTTGATGCTCCTGGTGCGGGTAATGAGTTAGTCCCTTTTATGGACAATTATTCCAGCTGCTTCAAGACAGGCAATGAGTTGATAGCCAAAGTTGGTAGAACTGTTAGAAAGGCTAAGAGAAGAGGAAGAAAACCAAGAGCCAGTCAGAACATAGGAGTTATTGTGGAAGAACTTGTAGACGTTCCTATCGGTGTTGCTGAGGGTTTTAGTGGTTGTCCCGCAACAACCACTCAATCCTCATGATAGGTGTTTCCTGGAATTGTCAAGGGGCCGGATCACCCTTGACATTTAGAGCCCTTAGGGGTTTAAAGAAAGACCTTGATCCGGATGTGGTTTTCTTAATGGAAACTAAAAATACAGTGAGGAAACTTGAGTACAGAAGAAGAAAGCTGGGTTTTGATTATGGTGAATATGTGGAAGCCAATGGCCTAAGTGGAGGTCTAGCTCTTTGGGGTAAACGTAAAAACTGCTTGAGAATCAGAGACAAGGGAAGGAACTTTGTTGACTCTTGGTACTGTGATGATAGTGGTATACCATTGTTTCGTGTTATTTGGGTTTACGCTCCTGTCGATTATTATGAAAGGCAAGATCTGTGGAGGAGAATTGAGGTTATGGTCTTGGAGAATGACAACCCTTGTATCTGCTTGGGTGATTTCAACGATATTCTGGATCAGGCTGAGAAGCTGGGAGGTAGAAGGAAATCCCACAGGAATATAGCCAGCTTTAGAGACTTCATATCTCACTGCAACTTCATTGATATGCCTAGTCAATGGCAGCAGTTTACTTGGAGATGTCGTAGGGATGGTGAGATAATTCAAGAAAAGCTGGATAGAGTTCTAGCAAACGCTGACTGGATAGCGCAGAATCCTAAATGCAAAGTCATTAACTTGTCGGCAATTGGGTCAGACCATTCACCCATTGTCTGCTACTCTGAGTTTAAGAGCCTATTCTCCAAAAGGATTTTTAAATTCGAAGCTATGTGGGCTGAACATCCAGAGTGTTATAATGTGATTAAAGCTGGGTGGGATAAGAATATTGAAGGCTCTAAAGCTTATCAGTTGGTCCAAAAGCTTAAAGAGTGTGAGAGACTCCTCAGAGCTTGGAGTAGAAAAACTTTCCCAAATAACAGAAGAGCTATTGAAGAGATTAAAACTAGAATTGCAGCTATGCAGGGCAAAGAAATGACAGATTTTGATTTCAGAACAGTTGAACAAATGGTTGAGCAAATTGATGAGTTATGGAAAAAGGAAGAACAGTATTGGTTTCAGAGGGCTCGTGTTAAATGGCTCTGCTATGGAGACCAAAACACCTCCTTCTTTCATCAAACGACTTTGCAGAGAAGGCAGAAGAATAAAGTGGTGAAGATAAAAAACAGACAAGGGGACTGGGTTGATGAAGAGAAAGATATAAGGAGCTGCTTCCTTGACTTCTTCAAAAATCTTTATACTAGTAGTGGCCCAAGAGACTGGAGGGAAGTTCTCAGCTATGTTCCGAGTCTAATCACTCCGGAGATGAATCAACAGTTGACTAGGAACTTCTCAGTAGATGAAATTAAAGAAGCTACTTTCCAACTTGGCAGGCACAAGTCCCCAGGACATGATGGCTTCAATGGCCTATTCTTCCAAGATTACTGGAATGAGGTGGGGAAGAGCATTACAGAAGCTGTCCAAAGTTTCTTCCACAGTGGCAGAATCCTTAAAGAGATTAACAGAACTTTTATTGTGCTCATCCCCAAAACCAATGCTCCTGAAGAGGTCAGTCAGTATCGCCCAATCAGTTTGTGTAACTTTGTTTACAAGATCATTTCCAGACTTATGGTTAATAGATTGAAGAAATGGCTGGAGATTCTTATTACTCAGAATCAGAGTGCATTTGTGGAAAAGAGACAAATTCAAGACAATATAATAGTGGCTCATGAAGCTTTTCACTATCTGAAGATGAGAAAGAACAAGAGGAAATGGGAGCTAGCTATAAAGCTGGACATGCAGAAAGCATATGACAGGATTGAGTGGGACTTCTTAGAGGCGGTTATGGAGAAAATGGGATTTGCTGACAAGTGGATCAAGTGGGTGATGCAGTGTGTAACTACTGTGAGTTATTCAGTGGTGGTTAATGGTGAGCCTGATGGTAATATCAAGCCTACTAGAGGGTTAAGACAAGGGGACCCCTTGTCACCTTATCTTTTTCTGCTGGTGGCTGATGTTTTATCAAGAATGATTCATAAGGAAGCTGAAGATAAGAATCTGTCAGGCATGAAACTTTCTAGAGCTGGACCTGAGATCACACATTTATTATTCGCTGATGACTCCCTTTTCTTCCTTCAAGGTAAAATGCAGAATTATGACAAGCTTAGAGACCTCATTGAGAAATACTGTAGGGCCTCGGGACAGCAAGTCAATCTGGCTAAGTCTAGTCTCATCTTTAGTGCAAACGCCTCTGAGGATATTATGAATGAAGTCTCCATTCGCCTTGGCATCCCTATTGCTTCTAATCTTGGCACCTACTTGGGTATCCCAGCCACTTGGGGAAAAACTAGAAAAGAAGCTATGCACTTTGTTAAAGAAAGAGTGTTCTCTCGTATCCAAGGTTGGAAGCAAAAGATGCTTTCTCAGGGGGGTAGGGAAGTGCTTCTTAAAGCAGTAGCTAGTGCTATCCCTACTTATTTTATGTCTTGCTTCAAGTTTCCCATCAGTCTGTGCAATAAGATGAACACAGGCATGACTCGATTTTGGTGGGGTCAACAAAAAGAAGAAAGTAGAATTCATTGGCAAAGCTGGGACAAGCTGACTAAAGCTAAAGATGAGGGAGGTATGGGGTGTAGACAGTTGGAACTCTTCAACCAAGCCCTCATGGCCAAGCAGTATTGGAAGATAATACAGAATCCTGATGCTCTGTGGGTTAAAGTGCTGAAGGGAATTTATTTCCCAAACTGTGATGTTACTGAAGCTCGTAGAGGTGGAAGAGCATCTTGGATTGGAGTAGTATCATAGAGGGCAGAGATTTTATGGAGAAGGAGATTAGATGGAGGGTGGTGGATGGAGAAAGCATATCTGTTACCGATGACAGATGGATCCCTACTTTGGAAGCAGGAAAAGTTATTCTAAATGGTGGTGAAGAGCAATGCAAATCCCTTAGAGTCAAAGATCTCATTGATAAGGAAGGTGGTTGTTGGGATTTAAGTCCCATTGAACAATGGCTAACACCTAAATGTAGAAAAGCCATATTGGCAATCCCTATCTGCAGAACAGGCTGTTGCGATAAGAAGATCTGGCATTATGAGAAGAATGGCAAATATACTGTTCGCTCAGGTTACCATACCCTGAAAGGTAATTCTGATATGGATAGTTCTAGCAATACACAGACGAAGGGTTGGAAAACAATTTAGAAGCTTAAAGTTCCAAATAAGATAAAACATTTTATGTGGAGGATAAGCACTGGATCTCTAGCCACTAGGGAGAGACTCCTTAGTAGGAAAATTACTAATGGTGGTCTCTGCCCGATTTGTCAGAAAGAAGAGGAAACAATTGAACATCTTTTGACTAAATGTGACTGGACTGCTGCCGTTTGGTTTGGTGCTTTGGGGTATAGATTTAGTGGTGATAACCCCCAACTTTTCAAAGACTGGTTCTTATCGACTCTTGATTCACTGAATTCTGGAAAAGATGACACTGGCATGAAAATAGCCTTCACTAGCTGGTTCATAAGGAAGGCGAGGTGCGATTTTGTGTTTAACAGGAAGAAAATTGATCCCTTGGGCATCTCTATTGGTGTTCAGAGAAGTGTTGCAGAGTATCAGAATAGCCAGCTGAAGAAGATTGTGAAGTCTACCTCAGATTTCCAGAACCAAGAAAATACTAAATGGGCCCCCCTGCTGTTGATGAATTAAAAGCAAATGTTGATGGTGCATGGGATAAGGACAGTGGCATTAGTGGTTTTGGGGTTTTGATCCGAGATCATAGTGGCAATGTTGTTGATGGTAAAGTGGGTTCAGGCCAATATAGTTCTGCCCTCCAAGCTGAAGCAGAAGCTATTCGTGAAGCAGCAACTCTTGCTCTCAATCATGGAAGTGGGAAGTTTATTTTTGAAAGTGACTATAAAGAGTTGGTTAATGCTATTTTATCTGATAAATGTGGGAGATGGGAGATTGACTCTATCTTAGATGACTTCAGAGTTTCTTCAGCCAAGCTAAGAGAGGTCTCTGTCAGATGGATTAGCAGGAAGATGAATGCAGCTGCAGATTGGCTAGCTACCAAGCCAAACAGGGAATGTGTTCTAGCAATTGGGTGAATCACCCACCATTCTCTCTTGTCCATATTCTGAAGATTGATGGCCTTTCAGCGCCTCCAGTTGATGTCCTTTAGCTAGTTCTCTTTAGGTCTAGGCCTCTTTGAGATATCTCCTACTTTGTATCTCTTTTCTTATCTAGGTCTAAGGTGAATTAGTGAATGTAATCAAAAGTTTTAGTGGAATTATTAATAAAATAAGTAGACCCTTTTGGCAAAAAAAAAAAAAAAGAAAGAAAGTAGTAAGTGCTGAATTTGAAACTCTGAGAAGAAATTTTTAGAATTTAAAAATTCAATCTAATAGTAATGAATAAATAGGCTAACACATTGGTTGATTTAAAATGATTTATGATTCAATATTAATTTCACTTAAACAAGATTTAGAGTTCCATTTTAGGAAAACTTCACTTTCATAATAAATTGATCAGTCCAATCCAAACAAGATTAAACTAACGAGTAATGCTATATGACCTTCCAATTTATCCCTCCATTTGTCCCTCCTGACGTGTCATTAGAAAACTTACTATAATTTCTAAAACCCTATTCAATAATAGCCTAAAATCAAGAGATTTATCCTGTAAACTCTCCATATTTATAACTAAGGGCTAAACCTAAATTTAATTTCTTACCTTAATTATCAGGGAGCTAAACATGGAATCTAGATTTAATTTGTTTCCTTAATCATTTAGGAGAGACAAATTGAAGGGACAAATTGGAAGTTCAAATAGAATTATCCCGGACTAAAATAAAATGGTTGTAACTAAGTTCATCCAAATCTTTTGATTACCGACATACCATTCCTCCTCATTCCAAAATCTGCTAACATAAATAAATAAACCCATAAATAAAAATAAGATATTTGAAATTTGTTAAAGAAAATCATACTACCATGAATAAAATCAATAATAATTGAGGGAGTTTACGCGGCTTCCGGGAATCAAGAAACTTCGTGCCCCCAAAAAAAACAGAAAGCGAAAAGTGGGCCAACCGCGCCACAATCTCCCTCCTCATTGGCCCAAACAAAGTTCACACGACACGTGGCTTCTCAAAATTTACCCTTTTCACATTTCAGTTAAAAAAATGCCACCGGAAACTATTTTTCACCCTTCTTTTATCATTAACCAAAAAACACACATCACATCACCAATCTCTCACAACACTACACGTGTCGCCACGTGTACCAAGTGAGCCCCACCACCCGCCCCTAGTTTAGGGCTGGGTTCACAACCAAACCAGGGTTAAATTCTGGTGGTTTAGCATGAGCCCCCAATGTTATTTATCACACACACTCCTCAAAACCCTCCCAGCTTGGTTTTATGTTGGTTGAAAAGACAACCTTAAATAAGTTTCTGTGGAAGCAGACCTTCTTCTTCTCTTCTCTTTGTCTGGAAATTCTTAATTCTTTCCCCTGAAATTCAATTCATAAAATTATGGGACTTTCAAATTTTCCTAGTGCAGCCGAAGGGGTGCTTCCAGTTCTTGTAATGAACACAGTTTTATCAGTGGCTTTGTTGAAAAACATGGTGAGATCTTTACTTCATGTGGTGGGAGCAAGCAGTTGGAATTCTTCAAATTTAGATGAATTTGATGATCATCAGGATTCAGATAATAGTAATTTGGCAACAAGGAAGAGAAGGGTATCAATAACCCAATTCAAATCTTTGTGTGAAAGCAGGAGGTCATCAGCAGAATATGAAACTTCTTCTTCTTCGTCTTCTTCATCCTCTTCGTCTTCTTCTTCTTCGTCTTCTTCAGAAGCAGAATCTGGGAATTGTTGCAGTTGCAGTGTGGAGTGTTGTGTGTGTTTATGTGGGTTTGAAGCAGAGGAGGAAGTGAGCGAGTTGTCTTGCAAGCATTTCTTCCACAAGGGTTGCTTGGACAAATGGTTTCATAACAAGCATACAACTTGCCCTCTTTGTCGATCTATTCTTTAAGAAATGATGAGAAAAAGGGTTCTTTTTTTAGATTTTAGTTATTTATAGAAAAGGAATCAATCAAATATTTGATATATATTATATTGTACTCTTTTCTTCTTTCTTTTTTCTCCCTTCTTATAATTAAGGTTCATTTTTCTGTGTGTGTTACAATATTCTCTGCTGTAACATGACAGTATCAGAATAATAAGAATGAAGGGATTGAACAATTTTTATCAAGTTTTAGACTTTGGGATTTATTGAATTTTCTCTTTACTAGTCTCAGTGAAGTGACGTTTTATGAATGTAGCAATAGCATTATTAAGCCATTAATGTACTGTTCATTATCAGATGAGATTTCTTTAATTTCTTCCTAAAAAGCTACAAAAAGCTGCCGACTAGGCGGCTTTTGTTGTTGTTCTTGTTCATGGGCCCGTATTCTTAGTACAAAGGAAACTTCCTTTTAGTTTTCCTGTTTTTCTGAAGAATTTTTGGTAACGTACGAGTTTATTAGGCTGCTAAAACAGGCAATACCCAGGCAACTCTTCTAGTAAACAGTTAATGAGTTTATTCCTTGACGCAGCCATGAATATTCTATACTTCAATTCTTGACATAAGATATATATAAGATTCACTGGGAAATTTTCCCAAGTACTTAAATAAATAAACAAAAAATTTAAGATTCTCTGCATAATTAACTTACTGTCTGGTTTATTACACAAGAGTGCATGTTCAGAATTGTCTTTTACCTGAATTAGGGTATTGTTGTAACAAATTCAGACAACACTTAAGAAGCAACTGTGTGTTTTGAACCCTGAAAGGCCAATAAGGCTGGAAATAAGGTCATATCGGCTTCTCTGTTTTCTAATGTACACAAATTTGTCTTGGAAACCGCGTTAGGATAGGCTGGCAAAGATTTTTGGTTTGGAAGCAAGCTATCACAAAGCGCTGAGGCATGGAACAATGATGAAGGATCCACATTTGAAACAGCAGGCAACAGATGTAAGGTCCAATGTCATGTCATAATTGTTCACAAAGTTAGGAAGATTGTTTTGTTTCTGTTTAATTAATTATCACTAAATTATTACATGAAGATCTAAATGTTATATGTTGGTTACAAACTGGATGGACCCAAATGTTGCTCTTGCTCAAGTGGATTGGATTAAGACACTTGGTTTAATTCTAGATCAGAAAAATCTAGAACCAGAAGAAGGCTTTCTTCTTTAATCTTTATCAACAGAAAACTTTTGATCACCTGAAATTCATAATCTGTCATGTTCTAAGCATGTAGCCATTTGATTAGCCATGAAAATGGTCGTGTCGTTCCTTTCATGGGGCAGAAAATTAGTTAAAGCAGCTACATACCTTAAGTTGCAAGCCAGTTGAAGCTAAACAAAGGGGAAAAGTAGGCTGATTTTTGCTATATAAAGTACTAATTAATATATTTTGGCAAAAAAAAATCACTTTAACATCCCAAAGTTTTGTATAGATTTGGGAAAAGAAAATGACTTAAAATCAAAGTTTTGGAAAAGGGTTTATTTTGGAAACTTTTCTTTTTCATTTTTGGGTGTGGAGGATGGGGAGGGGATAAGTTATTTTCAAAAGAAATTCATGGCTTATATATACAGATGAAGAACATGCTTGCTTGTGCTAATAGTCTGATAGATTCCTAAAATTCCTAATACTATGTAAAAGGGAAGTGAAATAGAGACATAAATTAACATAAACTTGTAAAAAACAAGTGCTTGATCATCTATTAACAAATTATAGATTCAATAGGAAACATGAGACTAATATCAGCAAGAGCAGCATCTGATCATAATTATTAATGCTCAATAAAGTATAAATCTTTAGAGCTTATTGATTGCTAACGCCATGGCACGCTCCTTATTATATCAGTCGGTCTTAAAAGACATCCAGGTATTCGATCGCGCAAATTTCTTGTGCTCAAACTTAATGAAGTCCTCAGCTTCTCTGTCAACATCTTCATTAACCTGAAATTTGTCAGTAGTCTTGGCAATTTGAGGATAGTACTTGAACTCAACTATTTCAGCCCTTGGAGCATCATCAATAAGCCGGTCTTCATAATTCTTGTTGGATATGAACTCAACATTAGGGTACTCTGATGAATGGTAAGATTGATATGGCATTTGCTCCTTTGTGGAAGCATAAACCTGGTATTCATGATATGAAGTATCCCCCCAGCTGATCCTAGCAGGGTGCTTGGCATGGCGCTTATGGCTTGCATAAGACATTTTTAGTCACTTTTTTTGTCACTGTTTTTAATCAGGAATAGGCTCAGAAAAAAAAAATTGATATCAAGGTATCTTATGTGTTTGATTTCATCTGCATGTGAACCAGTTGCATTTTATAGTGTAACATGGTTGTTCCTAAGATTATATCGAATCTAATTCCCTTCCTTTAGCCACCACTCTTTCTAATAATATCACCCTACTTTGTGGACTGAAGCAATGGCAATGAACAAGTGAAGAAGAAACATGACAAATGATTTCCATATTGAGAACCATTATTTTAAAGCTCCTTTTTTGCTTTTCAAATTATTCCCCACTAGGAATATTCAAAAATAGTACCAAGGATGATCACCATAATGAGGTCAAGTTCAAGTAAGTTGCAGGCACAACTTGAAGAAGAATCATCTTTTTGGCATAAAAAACTTTGCTTTTTCTCTGTGTATATCTTTATCACTTCCGACCTTAAGAACCAGATTCTTAGGAGTTTGGATTCCTCTTCTCACATCTTTAATTGGTTTAGAAGTATAAGACTATAAGTAAGTTAGGTGGAAGTTTTCCAGCTTGTTAAGTTGTTAGATTTTGATTAATAGCCTACATAATCTCAGTTGATAATTTATAAATGGCAAGTAACAGATGAAAATTTCCATAGAATGATTCCTAACTCCTCTTGATGATATGCATAACATGTTTGTTAGTTTGTTGAACATTTTCAAACTATAGAAAAGGTGTCAACAAGCTGGTTTGATCATATACATGGTAAATGATTCTTATATTCTTAACAACTAGATTAGGGTATCTTTTATTACAAGTATAACATTATTTATTTAGTGCTTTATAAA